GCTGAGGGGCCGATCGTACTGCATAAGACGGTCGTCGCCATCCTGGAGGGAATGGGCGAGCCGAACCGTGAATCTGGACACGATGGCGCTGAGGGGCCGATCGTGATACAGAAAAATAGTGATGATCATCTCATGGCCCTCGGCCTGTCGGTGAGTGGTAATCGTCTCACGGCCCTCGGCCGTGCTGGTGATGTGTCAAGTCTCTCTCCTGATTGGCTGTGAGAAGCCGATCGTCTGCCAGGACTCCATCCGGGAAGGAATGGTGAGCCTGAAACAAATCTGGGCGATGTCCCTCCTATCTGATCTGGGGAGCTGATCGTCGTTCGTCTACCGTATCTGTGGTCCTATGTACGGACCGCTAAGCGGTGTACACTCGGCACGCAACAGACTCCGATGGAGAACTGGTCCCTCCTGTCTGATCTGGGGAGCTAGTCTTTGTTCGTCTACCGTATCCGTGGTCCTATGTACGGGCCGCTAGGCAGTGTACACTCGGCACGCACAGACTCCGATAAAGAACTGGTTCTTCGTGTCTGATCCATGGAGTTGGTCTTCGTTCGTCTACCGTATCCGTGGTCCTATGTATGGACCGCTAAGCGGTGTACACTCGGCACGCAACAGACTCCGGTAAAGAACTGGTTCTTCGTTCTTCCAAAGTCTCGTGAGTTACTGGTCTCCTGGTTTCGCAGGAGACATTCGTCATCCCAACTATGAGAAGAAACAGGTTTATCCACGTCGGGATTCCCTATCTCTGTTCGTCCCCAGTCGTGAGTTACTGGTCTTCTGGCTTCGCAGAAGACGTTCGTCATCCGTCCATAAGGGGGAGGAACCGGTATACCCTGTCAGGGTTCCCGTTTCTTCGTTCGTCCCTGTCGTGATCCTACTAACCTTCTTCCCTCGAAGAAGACGTTCGGTCAATCACCGATCGCAAGAAGGAACTGGTTTACCCTATCGCGGGTTCCCTGCTTCGTCGCCCCACACTCGTGGCCCTACTAGCCCTCTGCTTCAGCAGAAGGTGTTCGTCGATCCACGGGTCATGGGAGGAACTGGTTTATCTTGCCGAGGTTCCCTTTGGTTCGTCTAGCCCCCCCCCCCATGTTCCTACTGGCCTCCGCGTCGGGAGACGTTCGTCATACGCGGCGAAGGAAGATCTGGCATACCTCGTCAAGACTCCCTCTCTCATAGGATCTCGTCTCCCCTTCTCCCCATCTTTTTTTTTGAGGGAGGAAAATACGTTCGTCGGTTCCAAGAATAACCACAAGTGATGTCACACATAATGGTGGTGGGATATCAAAATGAATAGAATGATGAGGCGATGGAAATGCTGGTCGTCATGCGAAGGCGATGGTCACCCTCCTGAAGGGAGGGGTGAGCCCGACCGCTAACTCAAGAAGGTCGGCATTGGGAGCCGATATACAATGATCATAATGTCGCTGAGCAGTCGGTCCTGAAAATGGAGATGGCAATAGTGTCCGGTCAGGCCGATATATCCGAGCAACGGCTCTCATCCAACGCAGCGCGGGGATGAAACCGGTCTTCAAAAGATAAATATGCCGTGCCGAGAGGCCGAACATAACATGATAGTGTCGGCAGTGAGAGGCCGACCTGAAAGAATCAAACAACGGTCCTCGTCCGCGAGGTGGCGGGGACGAGGCCGGTCCTCAAAAGATAAGCACGCCGAGCCGAGAGGCCGGTCGTGGTATGATGATGTCGGCGATGAGAGGCCGAACATGATGTGACAGTGTCGGCAATGAGGGGCCGACCTGCAAGAATCAAACAACGGCCCTCATCCGCGAGGAGCGGGGATGAGTCCGGTCTTCAAATGTGGAAAACACGCCGAGCCAGGAGGCTGGTCGTGATATAACAATATCGACAATGTGAGGCCGACCTGAGATAGCAAGCAACGGTCCTCATCGACGAGGAGCAAGGATGAGGTCGGTCTTCGAAAGATAATGGCACCGTACCAGGGGGTCGGTGGCCATGTAAGAGTGTCGGCCTGGGGGCCGATCAGAAAGAACCAAGCAACGGTCCTCATCCGCGAGGAGCAGGGATGAGTCCGGTCTTCAAAAGATAAGACGTCGTGCCGAGAGGCCGGTCATGACATCATGATGTCGGCAATGGGAGGCCGATCTGAAATCAAACAACGGTCCTCATCCGCGCATCGCGGGGACGAGGCCGGTCTTCAAATAAGATAATCACGCCGAGCCGGGAGGCCGGTCGTGATGTAATGATGTCGGCAATGATAGGCCGATCTGAAATCAAGCAACGGTCCTCGTCCTCGCAGTGCGGGGACGAGGCCGGTCTTCAAATAAGATAATCATGCCGTGCCGAGGGGCCGGTCATGATATAATGATGTCGGCAATGAGAGGCCGATCTGAAATCAAGCAACGGTCCTCGTCCGCGCAGTGCGGGGACGAGGCCGGTCTTCAAATAAGATAATCATGCCGTGCCGAGGGGCCGGTCATGATGTAATGATGGCGTCAGACGGCCCTCGGCCGTGACGATCTCTTCTAGGCCCCCGGCCTCTGAATGACGGGTGGTCGTCTCACGGTTCTCTGTCATGGCATTCGCCTCTAGATCCTCGGCCTCTAGGTGTTCTTCCTAGGCCATCGGTCTCTGGGGTGGAGATGCTCGTCCCACGGTTCTCAACCGTGGTGTTCTCCTCTAGGCCCTCGGCCTCTAGGTGGAGATGCTCGTCTCACGGTCCTCAGCCGTGATGCTCTCCTCTTTAGCCGGCCCTGCACGTCTTCAAGACTCGGGCCGAGCGTCTTCTAATCATTTCACTCGAGCGCGCCGAGCGGCTTCAGCTGCGCAATAAGCATGGTAACGGGCCGCACGGCCCGACAATATGTATACACACATAACCATCTGCATGGTTTTCTATTTAACATCCACGATTACCGGCCTATGGGTTCTCGTGACCCCCGGCCCGGCTCATCGTGCGGGGTTATTGGACGTAGCAGCTCGCGGCAGGGCCTTTTAGCAGCCTGCCGAACGTCACATAGAAATACTCATTGGTCTGTGAGTTTTCAAACTCAGACCCAAGTTGGTCGCACCGCCCTCGGAAAAACAAGGCCGAGCGCTTTGGTGCCCTCGGGGCCCCACAGGCCGCGTCTGGCATTAGTCACTTCGCGCCTAATGGCGTAGATGATACTGGGGTACGATCGTCGATCGGGCACGTAGTGCCGTGCTGACTAACGTGCAACCCTCCAATTAAAATGCGTCGTCGGGGCGTCGCCCTTCTGGAGACGCTCGGATCGCTTAATCAAGCCGATCGAGAGTGGCCAACGGGCCCACATGAATTTAAATATTTAATAAAATGTTAGTTGAACTAACCATCACTTGAGCTTCACTCAGCGTTATTTAATTCGGGACATTTTTATCCCTAATAAATAATAGTGATATAACAGGTAATAGCAATGATATCATCCTGTCAAAGGCCATTCAGGTACGCCCCGTCCGCTAATTAAAGCCGATCAGGAGCGGGCCGACGGGCCCACAACAACCAGTCATTAATTAAAATGACGGTGAAAATAATTATCACAAGAGCATCGCTCGTCATTATTTAATTTCGGGAAATTTTATTCCCTAATAAATAAAGGTGATAACAAATACGAGTAATAAGGCAATTTCTACCATTCAACATTCAATAGGAAATGAGGGAGTTTATACGGGACTTAGAAGCTGTTCCGTTCGTCTTAATCTTATTACTTATTCCTTAATCTTATTTTATTCAGATCAGATCAGATCAGATCAGAAAGATTCAGATCAGATCAGATCAGATCAGAAAGATTCAGATCAGATCAGAAACATTCAGATCAGATCAGAAAGATTCAGATCAGATCAGCAACATTCAGATCAGATCAGAAAGATTCAGACCAGATCAGACCAGATCAGAAACATTCAGATCAGATCAGAAACATTCAGATCAGATCAGATCAGATCAAAAAATTCAAACATGATTTATCACTTTTATTATTATATTAATTATGATTCTTATATTATAGTTATTGTTAATAATATTAATATATTAATATAATAATATTATTAATAATAATATAATAATAATGTTAATAATATAAAATTATTATTATATTATAATAATATAATATAATATAATATAATATAATATAATATAATATAATATAATATAATATAATATAATATAATATAATATAATATAATATAATATAATATAATATAATATAATATAATATAATATAATATAATATAATATAATATAATATAATATAATATAATATAATATAATATAATATAATATAATATAATATAATATAATATAATATAATATAATATAATATAATATAATATAATATAATATAATATAATATAATATAATATCATATAATATCATATCATATCATATCATATCATATCATATCATATCATATCATATCATATCATATAATATAATATAATATAATATAATATAATATAATATAATATAATATAATATAATATAATATAATATAATATAATATAATATAATATAATATAATATAATATAATATAATATAATATAATATAATATAATATAATATAATATAATATAATATAATATAATATAATATAATATAATATAATATAATATAATATAATATAATATAATATAATATAATATATTATAATATAATATAATATAATATAATATAATATAAGGTATTTATAATTATAATTATGATTTACAATGTAATTATAATTATAATCATCATTATTATTAATATGATTGTTGTTCTTGTTGTTATTTTTGTAATTATTATTACTTCGGAGTAATTATATATTTAAATTAGTAATTATAGATATAATTATGATTATAGAGATAAATATTATAATTATAATTACAAAAAAAATTATAAAATTAATCATAATTAAAAATATAATTACATTTATAATTGTATCTGTATTTATAATTAGTGTAATTGGTATAATTATTATAATTTTAAATTTAATTTTAATTATTATTTTTTTATAATTATGATTATAATTGTAATTTTATTTAAGTTATATTTTTAATTACAATTATAAATCTAATAATTATAATTATAATTACAATTATAGAAATATTCAAATCAGATCAGAATGATTCAGATCAGATCAGAAACATTCAGATCAGATCAGAAACATTCAGATCAGATCAGAAACATTCAGATCAGATCAGATCAGCAACATTCAGATCAGTTCAGCAACGTTCAGATCAGATCAGAAAGATTCAGATCAGATCAGAAAGATTCAGATCAGATCAGATCAGATCAGAAAAATTCAGATCAGATCAGATCAGATCAGAAAAATTCAGATCAGATCAGATCAGAACTTAAAAAATTCAGATCAGAAACATTCAGATCAGGTGAACGGAACAGCTTCTTATCTCTTGGAGAATAGGAATCCGAGCTTTATTCGGAGTTATTCCTTGAGGAGCTCGTCCGAAGTACTGCAAGTGATAGAAGTCAGCACCACTTGTTGACCATCCCAATAATACAATGGCTCTACTCCCCTTCATTTTCCTTCGACGTGGTCATCCTCCATCCAAATAAAGAGCACCTTTTGGAGAGGCAGATGGAAGAACACGTCCCCAGCAGAGAGTACGTGCTGCCTTGTGACGGTGGTGATGGAATGCTCAGGGGAAACTGACCAGGTGAAGGAGTGACCGGCCGTTGGCCACTGACGACAAGCGGCGGTGTGGCGACCTGTGCGATGGCCGGCGGTGAGGCCTAGAACGCTGCCGGAGGTCCATCTGGTGCGGTCCCACTCGCTGGAGGAGTCCATGGCGGCGGAAATGGCGATGGCAGCTCCGGCGACCCCAAACAGGTCTGGAAAAAACCCAGAATTGGAGTTCTAGGCTCCGTGGCTTCTTCGCTTCCTCCCTTTCTCCGAACTCCTGCCAGCGCAGCGAACTCCGGCGGACTGAGCAAGCCCCAAATATTACACGGCGGCGGATTGGCGGATGTTCCGGCGGCGGTTGGGCAGGTGCTGCGGCGGCGGCAGTTTGACAGAGCAAGATCCATCCGGCCCAAGTCTTCCAGAATCGTTCTTCTTCCTCGAACTTTTTCTTCCCTTCCTTGCTGAAAATCCAGATCTCCGTAGCAAACCTTTCTTTTTCCTTTTTCAAATCAGTAGCTTTTGGTATAACAAATTGTAGAAAATCAAGAACACATGCAATCTTTTTGAACAGATTCACAAAGACGGCGCCAGTGTTGAGTTTAATCCAACACGATATAATAAATATATGTATAAATGTTTATGAACAAGCTATTTTTACGTGGAAACGCGAAAGGGAGAAAACCACGGGACTTTTTAGGCTAATGTCCAAGCCCTCTCATTCTCATTAGGACTCTCCTCACCATTACATAGTACAATATTCAAGCTCCTATTAATGGAGGATCAAGCTAATCTAGAGAAAGAAGGAAGAAGAAAAGGATCCATCATATGGAGGGAAACTCCCATATTTATAGGAAAAGGGGGAAGGGGCTCTCTACCCTAATGGGCCAACGGGCCGATGTCGGGCCTAATGGCCAAAGTGGGCCAGAATGAGCCGAAATGGACCTAGCTGCTCGGGCTCCGTACTGGATAATGTCTTGGGCTCCTGAACAGTAATAGGCCGGGATAATATATCCCAACAGAATCGAAACAAACCGAACCAATTAAACCGTGGTTCCAAGTTTTGGAGTGTAAAACCGAACCGAAACCGAACCGAACTTTTTACTTTGATTCTATATTTAGTTTTAGGTCAAAACCAAACCGCAAGAACCGAACCCCCCCCTAATTACATCCAAAGAAAATGAAAAAATGGAGATCTAATTGATCATTCCTCACAATCGGAGGTAATAACATGAAATTATTTTCTGATTCTCCACTTTCTCATTTTGCAATGGTTTCTTCGTTTCCTGTTGTTTGGATTTAATGTGAGTACTTATGTAGTTTGAAAGGTGGAAAATATTCAACTGGATTATATTTTATTATTGCACAACAAAATCTTTTAGAACGTTGCTAATTGATTTTGCTTTGTTATAAACACGATGTCATCAATAAATTAGTTGTCATCAATATAGGAGATATACTTATATATAGAATGATACTTTTTTAAGTCACAGAATGATACATAATGACATGGTGTTATTGAGTTATCATTTAATAACACATGCAAGTAAAATAATGTTGATTGGGATGGGATATAATGATATATACATCAACTTTACTCCCCACTTTCATCTTTGAGTTGAAATAAAAATAGAAATTGTAACAATTTCAGTTACATCAAGAATATTTACTCTCTCTATATTATTCTTACAGATTTTTTAATACAATCACTAAAGTGAAAGTTGTTTAATATACCGAAAATATTGTATTATGATGTTATATACTACCTTCATTCTTAAATAAATGCAACACTTTGACTTTTACACTATTCACATGTTCTACTTTGACTATGTTTTATTTATTAATGTAATAATATTATTTTATGAAAAAAATATTGTTAAACTTTCTCATTGTAAATTTTCATAATCTAATTTTTTTTAATTTTTTTACTAATACAAAATCATTTATATTAATGGTCAAAGTTGTGTCTCGGCAAGTGTGAAAGGTTGACCGTTGCATTTATTTAAGAACGGAAGAAGTAGTAGAAAGTAGCAGTCTTGGTATTGTATATAACTTGGATTCTATGTGTTGTAATGGCTTTTATCGTTTTGATGCACAAGAGGCTATTAAAATGTTGTCTAATACTTTTCATGAAACTGAAAGTAAACATACTTAATCATCAAACGCACAAATTCGGTTATCTAAGGCGTCAAAAGATGCATTGTTTGAATTGGGTTCTAAGTATTTTGAAGCAGTATGGCGCAAAAAGAAAAGTGTTTATGGAATGGGAAGGTACTCCAAACATCCCTTCAGTTGTCAGAATCAACTCATCAAGGATGTTGTTCACCTTCACTACGCATCCACGAGTTTTACATTTGTTGGAATGAATAAATGAGATGATCATCTTCACAAGGTCATGAGTGTCCACCATTAATGCCTCTTCTGGATGAAAGTTACGTGGATGAAGATCCGATTCACACCTAATAATTTTGAAGATACACAGGTTGTCACGCCCCGGGCCTACCGGACACGTCAACAACCTGTCGTACAGTACGAATAGTCAACTGCAGTCCAACTCATCCATACTATACTAGGCGCCTTGAATACCATTCATACATAGTACATCCATAAACAAACATAATGTAAAATATTCATTTAAAGCAACAGAAACATCTAATACAAGTGTTCAAGCCACACTTGGAAAACATGGGCATACGAGCCCCCAAATAATTATTAAATAGGGTTAATATTAAATGTATGTGTACTAATTATCCATAAATAATTAGGAGAAGGTGTAAATAGGCTCATCAACCCTAATATTAAATTTTAGGGTTAATGACTTGTCACGCTTTTATACAAACGAGTTCAAGCCACACTTGGAAAATAATATCCATGAGCATTAATTAAAATGTTTTTAAAACAGAAGCGGAGGAAGCACGAACCACGTCTTCTCTCCTTGATTATCCCGAAGCAACGGGCGATGGTAGCAACCTTCAAGTTCTACCTGAAACTGTGAGGTGGCCTCCCCCGTGAAGGGGAGGTCAGTACTTTGAAACATTTGAAAAGTACAATGACAACTATACTAAGTATAATCAATGTTTCAATTTCTAAGACCCTCAAATAGAGTGATATCATACTATAATGATAGTTCTTCTTTACCTTTATTATCTTTATAATAAGTCAATTAATTAATTTGTCGGCACGCATGCCCCCTTTTTATATTCTATTCTATTTTATTCATCATTTCAACTGACCATCGGGCTCTCGGGCCGGAGTCCAACATCCCGCCCCTGGGCTCGTACCCATCATCCCGTAGGAAGGTACGGCCCGTTCGGGGTCCTATCTCAAGTGTCACCGTTGTCGGGAGTCTCATAAGATCTCCGGTTCGGATTCCACCGTAACCCGTGATCACGATGCAAGTCCATGCTATGCACCCCCACTCTCTAGAGTCGGGAAGGGCCATGGTCCTTGCTATTTACCATAAATTAACCGGCTATTCTCAAGGACTGCCGAATACACCCGTAGGTCAATCCTATATCTAGGATCAATTTAATATTTACTTTATCTTGGGAATCCCTTAAGGCCTACCCCTAGTATAACTTAACGTTCATACTAATCCACCTTAGTATCTCTTAGGACTACTTAAGGTTCAACATTTCACCATCCAACCTTAGGATCAATTCTAACATAATCTCATTTCCATACCCCGACTAGTATTTCAATACCAATCAGATAAATTCTGTTTAACCAAGTTTTCAACTCATAGTCATATAGACAATTCTCAAACTAATTTTCCATTAAAAACATAGTTTATATCAATATACAAAATATCACCTTTAAACACTCATATATTCTTATATGAAGTAAAAGTATATTTCAACATAAGGTTTATAGTTAATTCCATTATCAAGCCATCATGCTTATAACACATAATCATACACAATTTATTCTTAAATTTGTATATCATGCTTCTTCCTAAATAGACAATAGTCTCTCATTCTTAGGCATTATTAATCATTAATAATCCATAAAAACACATTTAATTACCTTAGATAATCTCATGAAATTAACTCACTAATTATAAGCAATATAGTCAGCCATCCTCTCCTTGTGATGTGCTACGATAGTTGCATTTGTCAAGCTCTTCGATTAATCCTCATTCTAAATCGATTGAAAGCTAAAACTTGGCTGCCTGGACAAAAGCCGGTCGGCTTTGGCAAAAGTCGGGCGTTGTTCGTGGTCTGCTACTGCGAACAGCCTCTTCCTCTTGGCGGTTTCCGACAGTTTCAACTCCTATCGATTCCACGACTTATATAAGTTAAATACCACAACCTTATAACATTATTCTACACTTTTAAGCGAGTAGAACTTCATGTTTAATCTATCATATGATTTCATAAAAATCATACAACACAAAAACTAGTTAAAATAATATAGTTGTATTCTTACCTCTTCTCCTACCTTCACTTTCTTGGATTTTCCCCTCCTTTTGCTTGCTTCAACTATGAACTATGACAGAGGTGTTTTGCCAGAGCTCCTCTCTTCCCTTGGTCTTGTTCGGATGATTGCACAAGTGGTAGAGGAGGGGTTGCTCTCACCCAAGACAATACATTACGAAGGATAGGACATGGGGGGTATGGATTTTGTCTCAATGAGACTTCCCATTTCAATCATACGTACCAACCATGCTTGGTTGCCCCCTCCCTATTATTTGAGACTTATTGGTGTGTGAAATACTCCAAGTGGGTGTATGAAGTTCCTCCCAATTATTCCTGCTATTTCCTGCTATTTTTTGGTAGGTTGGGCCAAAATAGCACTCTGGTTGTCCAAATATTTTTATCAACTTTAGTTGGCACTTTATTGGGCTTCTATAAATATTACGATAACCCAACTAAATATTTGGTAGCTCATTCTCATTATTATGGGCCCGATAAATAATTTAATTAATCTCGCATTAATTAAATACACCTATATGTTAGACTATTACACAATTTTATTCGCTAGGAAATTCAAATGCATATCAAATTTCAATTTCAAGTACATCCGGGTGAGGTGTCACACAGGTTCCATTTTTCAAACCACATTAAGTTGATGCTCCAAGCCTTTTCCCATAATCCGGTTTCTCCTCTCAAGAATCAAATAAACATTCTTTATCACATTACATATGTTATTTTAGTAGGGAAATGACTTGTACACTTTAAACAACATTAATGTGGTGTGCTTGTTTGTGAATTTTTGTATGGTACACTTTGCATTGTAATAATTTATAGGGGGAATTTGACTTTGCACCCCACTTTTTGGGTGATATTGAACTTGGCACCTCATTTTCAAAAAACTTTGAATTTGCACCTCATTCCACTTACAAATTCTTTGACTTTGCACCCCATTCAGGAATTTTTCTTCACAAAATGTTATGTGGTGGGGTGCAAAATCAAAATTTTTTCTAAATGAGGTGCAAAGTCAAATTTCCCCTAATTTATACTATCGTATCTGTTAAAATTGCTACTCTTTGATTGTGTATTTATAGTTCACATGTAATTTAATGTGAATTCATAGTTCAAATTGCTACCATTTGATGACATATTATTTGGAACTATATTCATATTGTATTTCAAAAAATAATAGTGATGTTAAAATTTAATTAATTATATATAAAGTAATGTTTTGTAAATGAAAATTAATTAGTGGCGGAAATTGGTTACAGACTTTCCGTCACAAAACACGGTGGCGGATGTAATCTACCACTAAATTCTTTCTCAAATTTGTATGTGTCGGTTTTACAAACCCGCCAGTAAACACCATAATGTCGATAATTCAGTGGCGT